TTAGGACTTCCAATACTTTGTTGAATAGTAGTGGTGAGAGTGGACCTCCTTGTCTTGTTCCTGATCTTAAAGGAAATGCTTTCTGTTTTTCACCATTGAGAATAAAATGTTTGCTGTGTGTCTGTTGTATATGGCCTTTATTATATTGAGGTATATTCCCTCTATGCCCACTTTCTGGAGAGTTTTTATCATAACTGGGTGTTGAATTTTGTCAAAACTTTTTTTCTGCATCTATTGAGATGATCATGTTTTTTATTCTTTAATTTGTTAATATTGGTGTATCACATTGATTGATTTGTGTATATTGAAGAACCCTTGCATTCCTGGGATAAATCCCATGTTACATGATCCTTTTAATGTGCTGTTGGATTCTGTTTGTTAGTATTTTGTTGAGAATTTTTGCGTTTATGTTCGTCAGTTATATTGGTCTATAATTTTCTCTTTTTTGTGGTATCTTTGTCTGGTTTTGGTATCAGGATGATGGTGGCCTCATAGAATGAGGTTGGGAGTGCTCCTTCCTCTGCAATTTTTTGAAAGAGTTTGAGAAGGATAGGTGTTAGCTCTTCTCTAAATGTTTGATAGAATTCGCCTGTGAAGCCGTCTGGTCTTGTACTTTTGTTTGTTGGAAAATTTTTAATTACAGTTTCAGTTTCATTACTTGTGATTCTTCTGTTTATATTTTCTAATTCTTCCTGGTTCAGTCTTGGAAAGTTGTACCTTTCCAAGAATTTGTCCATTTCTTCCAGGCTGTCCATTTTACTGGCATATAGTTGTTTGTAGTAGTCTCTTATGATCCTTTGTATTTTTGCGGTGTCAGTTGTAATTTCTCCTTTTCTCCTTTTTCATTTCTAATTTTATTGATTTCAGTCCTCTCCCTTTTTTTCTTGATGAGTCTGGCTAAAGGTTTATCAATTTTGTTTATCTTTACAAAGAATCAACTTTTAGTTTTATTGATCTTTTCTTTTGTTTTCTTCATTTCTATGTCAGTTATTTCTGCTCTGATCTTTATGATTTCTTTCCTAATACTAACTTTGGGTTTTTTTTCTTGTTGTTGTTGTTCTTCGTTCTCTAGTTCCCTTAGGTGTAAGGTTAGATTGTTTATTTGAGATTTTTCTTTTTCTTGATGTGAGATTGAATTGCTATAAACTTCCATCTTAGAACTGCTTTTGCTGCATCCCATAGGTTTTGGGTTATTGTGTTTTCATTGTCATTTGTTTCTAGGTTTTTTAAAATTTCTTCTTTGATTTCTTCAGTGATCTCTTGGTTATTTAGCAGTACACTGTTTAGCCTCCATGGGTTTGTGCTTTTTATAGTTTTTTTCCTATAATTGATTTCTAATCTCATAGCATTGTGGTCGGAAATGATGCTCAATATGATTTCAATTTTCTTAAATTTTCCAAGGCTTGACTTGTGACCCAAGATGTGATCTATCCTGGAGAATGTTCCATGTGCACTTGAGAAGAAAGTGTTTTCTGCCATTTTCTGGTGGAATGTCTTATAAATATCAGTTAATTGTGTTTGGTCTGTTGTGTCATTTAAAGCTTGTGTTTCCTTATTTATTTTCTGTCGGGATGGTCTGTCCATTGGTGTAAGTGGAGTGTTAAAGTGCCCCACTATGATTGTGTTACTGTCAATTTCCCCTTTTATGGATGTTAGTATTTGCCTTATGTATTGAGGTGCTCCTATGTTGGGTGCATAAATATTTACAATTGTTATATCTTCCTCTTGGATTGATCCCTTGACCATTATGTAATGTTGTTCCTTGTCTCTTGTAATAGTCTTTATTTTAAAGTCTATTTCGTCTGATATGAGAATTACCACTCCAGCTTTCTTTTGATTTCCATTTGCACGGAATATCTTTTTCCATCCCCTCACTTTCAGTCTGTATGTGTCCCTAGGTCTGAAGCGGGTCTTTTGTGGGCAGCATATATACAGGTCTTGTTTTATATGCATTCAGCCAGTCTATGTGTTTTGGTTGGAGCATTTAATCCATTTACATTCAAGGCAGTTATCGTTGTGTGTGTTCCTATTACCATTTTCTTAATTGTTTTGGGTTTGTTTCTGTGGGTCTTTTTCTTCTCTTGTATATCCCACCTAGAGAAGTTCCTTTAGCATTTGCTGTAAAGCTGGTTTGGTGGTGCTGAATTCTCTTAGCTTTTGCTTGTCTGTGAAGCTTTTGATTTCTCCATTGAATGTTAATGAGATCCTGCTGGGTAGAGTAATCTTGGTTATAGGTTTTCCCCTTTCATCACTTTAAATATATCCTGCCACTGCCTTCTGACCTGCAGAGTTTCTGCTGAAAAGTCATCTGAAAACCTTATGGGGATTCCCTTTTATATTATTTGTTGCTTTTCCCTTGCTGCTTGTGATATTTTTTCTTTGAGTTTAATTTTTGTTAGTTTGAGTAATATGTGTCCTGGTGTGTTTCTACTAAGGTTTATCCTGTATGGGACTCTGTGCTTCCTGGACTTGGGTGGCTGTTTTCTTTCCCATGTTAGGGAAGTTTTCGACTATAATCTCTTCAAATATTTTCTCAGTCCCTTTCTCTTTCTCTTCTTCTTCTGGGACCCCTATAAGTCGAATGTTGGTGCGTTTAATGTTGTCCCAGAGGTCTCTGAGACTGTCCTCAGTTCTTTTCATTCTTTTTTGTTTATTCTGCTCCACGGCAGTTATTTCCAGTATTTTATCTTCCAGGTCACTTATCCGTTCTTCGGCCTCAGTTATTCTGCTATTGCTTCCTTCTAGAGTATTTTTAATTTCAGTTATTGTGTTGTTCATCACTGTTTGCTTGTTCTTAAATTCTAGGTCCTTGTTAAAAATTTCTTTTATTTTCTCCATTCTGTTTCTGAGATTTTGTATCATCCTTACTATCATTTCTCTGAATTCTTCTTCAGGTAGGTTGCCTATTTCCTCTTCATTTATTTGGTCTTGTAGGTTTTTACCTTGTTCCTTTGTCTGTAATATATTTTTTTGCCATCTCATTTTTTTTTTTTGATGGGTGGGGCTGTGTTCCTGTCTTGCTGGTTGTTTGGCCTGAGTCTTCGAGCATTGGAGTTTGCAGGCAGTTGGGTAGAGCTGGGTCTTGTTGCTGAGATGAGGACCTCTGGGAGGCCTCACTCCAATTAATATTCCCTGGGGTCTGAGGTTCTCTGTTAGTCCAGCAGTTTGGACTCAGAGCTCCCACCACAGGAGCTCGGGCCCAACCCCCCGCCTGGGAACCAAGATCACGCAAGCCAGGCATCACAGCCAAAGAGAAAAAGGAATAGAACAATAACAAAGAATAAAAGTAAAATAAAATTAGAAAAATAAAAGATATATTATAAAAAATAAACGTATAAATGAAACAACAACAAGGTAAAAGAGAACCACAATAGCAAGAAAAAAACAACATAAAAAAGGCCGGAAAAGGCCGTGGCTGTGGGAAGTGGAGTTTAGGCGGGGGCAGGGCAGGGCTTAGGTGGGGCAGGGCTTAGGCCAGGGGCAAGGCTTAGGCGGGGTGGCAGGGCTTAGGTGGGGGGCAGACCTAGGCTCGGGACCCAAGCAGCCAGAAAAGGCCCTAGCGGTGTGGGGGGCAGGGCTTAGGCTCAGCACCGCACAGCTGGAGGGGGCCTTGGTGTGCGGGGGTTTAGTCCAGGGCCTGAGTGGGCAGTGGAAATGCTGGCCATGTTCCCTTCTGATCCCCTGATCCCCCGAACATCTCTCCATGTCCCCCTGATCCCCTCGTAGTGAGTGGGACCCTCCCCTCCCGCACCTGCCCCTCAGGTGTGTTGGTCCCCGCCCACCTCTACTTCTCCTCCGGTCTCACTCCACTCCACATCCTACCCACTCACTTGGCGGTTCCCCCTGCCCCCTTAGGTGTCTGAGGTCCTGCACCAGCACCTGGTAGGTGCCCTAGTTGTCAGGAGATGCAAACTTCGCATCCTCCTACTCTGCTATCTTCTCTTTTCTGTCTCCTAGAATTCTTTTCCATGAGAAAGGAATAATTCTAGTGCATTTTGTTTTCCTCATGCTTCCTGGATTCTCACCAGCAGGTTTTTACAGTCCGTTGCTTGCCTCTCAGATTAGAAGAATGCTGGCATATTTTAACAGTTTCCTAGGATTCAAACAGCCTTTAATTAACAGCCAATTGATGCTTTGGAATGTTACCAAAGTATGAGAGACATAACAGGGAGATGGGCTCCTTTCATCTTCTGAATGCAGTGGAATCCTAGAACAGGGGGCAGAGGTAGGAGTCCCTTGCAAACAGCCTTTGCCCACTGGTATGCAAAGGAGCTGTCTGTGTTGCCATAATATTCCATTGCCTGCTCATTGGTGACCTTCTAAATTCCACCTACTTATGACTGGGAAGGAAGGGGGCAGCTAGTCTTGAATGTTGAAAGCCACAGGGGTGCTAAATAGCTCAGGGATCACATGATATGTAGCTGGATTTGCTGGTTTTAACCCTCCAGTTGCCAGGGAAGTAAGGTACAGCTGCCTGCATTTGCGTTAAGTTTCTTTTCTGTGCCAGGTTCATGTCATCTTGCTGCCAGAGTTTTGGATGCGGTGGAAAAGAGCAGTTCTGTAAAAGAATCCCTCAGACTGCATGTATATTTTGAGCAGGAGTTAGTTTTCAAAGAGGGATGGGGGAGCATTGGAGGGGTTTTCCCTTTGAATCAAGGAATGTTGCTTATAGATTTGTAGCTGACTCAATCCCGGGTTGTAGGCAGGAAAAGAAGGATGGATTGGGGAGTATGAAATGTTTGAAATGTTAACAATTCCTTATGTAACCAGATAGTTTTAATCCAAGAGGGAAAAAGGAGCAGCTCAACTGGTTTCCTCTGCTTAATGGCACATCTGCTCGTTGGCCGGTTCCCAGTTGAGGTCAACACACTCCATGTCTTGTTTTTTCCAGTGACCCATAAAGCTGGCCTTTTGGTCTCAAAAGAGACCTTGGTGTTTGTGTGTTGTGTGTTTAATATGCACCATGTCCCTGATTGCTCCCTTTGCTCTCCTCTGTGCAGGTGGTACATGCCAGAGCCCCGCTCTCCCAGCCCTGGTCCGTCCACCAGCCCCTCCTTTGCAACCATCGCTGGATATTAAACCGTTTCTTCCCTTTCCTCTTGACACTGCGGCCGCAGTCAACCTCTTCCCCAATTTTAATGCGGTAAGTCCCACATCATCTGCATATGCCAGGGTGATAGGTACTGGAAAACCTTAAGGGCCAGGAGTGAGCTGCTCACTACCTCTCATTTACTCTATGCTTTGTTCCATAGCTTGTCTGAAAGCATGTCAAGGTTAGTTGTCTGCCTGGTTGTGTAAGGTCCCCAGAGCCAGGCTCCTTCAAAGGGAAAATGAAAAGAGATGTAATCTGATTAGATTGATCATGAATTCATGTCTCCCTCTTAGTGTCTTTTTGGACAACACTAACCATTTTATTAGTTTCTTTTCCATGCCAAGTTCAATTTAATTGAAATTTAATGAATGTGTTAGAGAGCATTCAAATTCAAGTAGATGTCTAAAAACTTAAACATGTGTTTCTTCTCTCTGGGCCTTTCACTTTAATTTTCAAATCTGTTATTTCTTTTCTGATTTAATAAAGAGGACCCTTATAATCACACTAGAGATACATTCCATGTATACAGCACATTTTCTCTCTTAACTTAAAACAGTGTAGGGTTCTGGTACCAAGAATTTTCATTTTATTTTCTTCCTGCTCAGGCACAGTTCCTCAACTTAAGTCTTTCTTAAATGACCTTGTTTCGGGGGCTTTGTCAGCAGCCTTCTCAACAAAAGTTCAATACTTACTTACCCCTGTTTTCACTCTTAAGCATGTCTTTATAAATGGACAGATTCCTCTTATTTATCATCATCTTTTTTTGTACAAGCAGTGAGAATATTCCTAGGATGGAAATAGAAATAAGGGTTGAAAAGGTTAGAAGCCAGTAAGTGACATTTTTTTCTAATATCATCTGATTCAGCTTTCAGCGGTTGTTGTAATGCAGGTCTGAGTTTATCAATGACAGGACATGTCAACACAACCAAGGTGAAGGGGATTAGGATGCAAGGTCTCTGAATGCCCTGTGAGCATTTCTTACTGCAACATCTTACCCCCATGATGGATTTTAAAAAATCTGCCCACAATTACATCATTCTCCTTCGGGAGGCAGAAGTGGGTCTTATTTATTTTAATCATGCTTTGTCATGGGGACTTTGGACCTGCCAAGGAGATGGTACAGTTACATACTAGCCTTTACCAAAGGACAAGGGAAAATCACAGTGATTTCTTTGCTTTTGGGAGCATGAAGGATTTTCCATAGGAATATTACGTTGAAACTGATGGAACCTAAATAGAACAGCATAAAGATCATATTTCCAAAGTAGAGGTTTCTAATTCTAGGTATTTCAATAAGAGTAGAGGAAAACATTGCTCAGAATCAAATTTCCTGATTCTTGAATGTCCACAGTAAAGTCCCTGGGTTTCCTCTCTCTGAGCTCTTTGCCTGCTCCACTGTTAAGTGGCTTCTTGGCACCATTTTGCTTCCTGCCACCCGGAGATGATCCATCAGGGTGCTTTACTTGGCCTCTGAGACTACTTGGCCTCCTGTCCCTCACGTCTCATATCAGCTTTAGAGGAGCTGAGGTACAATTCCTGGAAGGTTGTAAAAGGCTGGGTTTTAAACTTTTGATTTGCCCTTTGGGAAGCATTAAAAGCAAAATGATTAATTTGATTGGCAATGAGTATTATTTGTCATCAAACAAAGATGAGTGATATATTGAGCCATAGGACACTGAGCAAATGTCTTAATCCTCCTTGGTACTGTTTCGTCATCTTTAAAATAAAGGGAGTGGACCTGATAATCTCTTCCTTTGGGGTTATCCCATTAAAAATAGTTGAGCTTTTGTGGGCAAAGACAGCATTGCATGGTGGTCAAGTTGGATTCTGAGCTAGAATGACTGGGTTCAAGTCAGAGCTGCTACTCACCATCATCATGACCTTGGGTGAGTCACATAATCCTTATGTATCTCGATATCTTTGTCTGTAAAATGGGACTAATAACCTACTTTGTAGGCTTGTGGTCATGATTATGTGGGTTAAATCATTTAGAACAGGGCTCAGCATTAATGATCATTGTTTTAATGACAGGTATTATATTCATAAATAGCCCGTAAATCCTTATTTTGAATTTGGAAGTTCATTGACTAACTGATTGCCAAAGTTTTACTTGATTCTTTTTCTTCTATGATAATTTGGACTTGTGTTGTTATTTGTTCCATTTAAACCAAGAGACCCTCTGTTGCTCCACCTGTTGGTTATTTCCTTCTAGTGCTGGTCAAGCTGCAGCCAGTCATGGATTAAGCCATTCTTTGTTTCCAACTGAGTGGAATGGTTGCAAAGCCCCAAATCTGGTAGTTTTGGACTGAGAATTAGGATATAGAGCATCTCTTTAAGTAACAGTCTGAGTTCTTGATTTTGTAGCAGGTGTGATTCTCAATCTACAAATTCAGGGTGTGTTAAATGTAACATCGTATTGCTGTAAGTTGATTTTATTTCTGGCTCAAAAGCCCATTCCATTAGTCTGTAGGGAAGTGAAATTTAATTGTTTCAGGATGTGCTAAGGCTCTAGAATCTAACAGATTATCCACCCATCTTTTGTTGGGAGACTTCCTCTGTTCATCAAGTTATGTGTCCACATAGGCGATCACGGTATGATGAGCCCCTAGTGAGCATGGCCTTTTAGGCCCAAACTCTTGACTTTGAACACACAAACTGGTGAGGCTTTAGTGGTGCCTCCTGCCTAGATGTGCCACACTGCTATTACCTCTTTCCCACCCCACAATTTTCTTTCATCTGACCTTTTGAAACAAAGTCCATGGTGATCAGAAACTGTTTTCCTGTTATATATCTTCTCTGAGTATATGAGTATAGAATGGTCTATTTGGGATAAAGTATGGCAGAATGGTAAAGGAAAGAAATTTCAGTTATATACATGTAACAAAATACATACGTGAATATATGAGATTATTGTCCTTAAATAGGAGTATAAACCATTGGGTTCAGATGTGAGTCAGGAAGAATCATGAAACATCTGTTAAAAAAAACACACACACACAGTTATGAGAGAAAGAAAAACAGATGTAGGATATGACCTGGGCTATGGATATATAAAAGGACATTCAATAAAATCATTAGGATCCCTTAATATACTTAAAGCCAACTTTAAGAAATAGCAACAGAAGCCATTCCCTTCTTGGTTTTTCTACTTGCTTTCATGGAGTCGGGAAGTTGCAGAAATACAGGATGCCCAGTAATCCCAGTTACTTTCATCCAAATCCCATGATTTTGGATTTTTTTTTAAAAGATAACAATAGATTATAATCCATTGAATAAAATATGAATCCACGATTCCACATAGATATAATTAAACAGAGAGAAGGTAAAGCTTTTACTTCCAGTAGAATGCCTGTGAATAAATGTAGGAGGAAAAATGAAAATAAAAAATTGGCATTTGGCATACATTAAAGTTATTCAGCCAAGGGACATATAGGGAACAGGATATTTACACAGTCTCCAGATATTTCCACACAAATACTTACCAATTACAAAGAAAAAAAGGAACTTTACAGTGGAGAAACCTAGCAGGCACCATCTTACTCAAATGATCAGTTATCATCTGTAATTCGGCAAATAAAGATCATGTGCCACCCAGTAGGACAGGATAAGGCAACTTCACTAATGTGATATCTGAAAGATGTGCATCTCGAGTATTTAGTGGGCTCTACGCTGAAAATTGCTGGCCGAGATCTGTGGGAACGTACACCTCAGGCTTCCTGTCTTTAGGATGTAAGGGGGGAGAACACAGAGCGGAAGCAGTGCTGAGTTGCCAACAGAAGACTTGACATGATGGCAGAATGGAAAGGACTATTGAGAATCAGAAAAGCTAAAAGTTTCTGCAATCTTGGGCAAGAAGCTAAGTCTATTGGAGCCCCAGTGTCCTGTGCCGGAAAAGGGTAGTGGCTAACTATCGCTTAGGTTTGTTATCAGCGAGGTAGCCGAGTTTTAAAATGCTGGAAATGGAAGCAGAGAATGGGCTTGGGTAAGACCTTGGGATATTGTTTAGACTGGAGGTAACCTGTAAAACATGGCTATACTCCCTGACAATTTTCTCCAAAGGTCTCTGAACTGCCTTTTTGTTTTTCATGTCTCTAACATATTTTCTTCATATTCTGCTCAGTAGTCATGACAATAATGAACATTGAGAATGTCATTGAAAAGTACAAGTTTTGGAGGACATGTTGATGGGAGCTGACAGTGAACCTGACTCCGTGCTCCCCTCCCATGACTATATTTCTTGTTGGCATAAAGATTAAATGAGTAAGCTCGACCTAGTGCACCTGCAAAAGCCAGATACTCAGCAAATATTGAGTCTTGTCTCTTCCAGAAGATTCACAAGGAAGTGTAAGGAGGTCATGCAGAGTGCAAAGAGGCAGCAAGGTGTGCAAAAACAGGAGATGACTGTTTTGCTTTTCAGTCTGCCCTGGCTAATATTCTTTAACAGTTAAAAAAAAAAAAAGTAAATTAGCCTAGAAATTTTGACTCTGTCCTGTTCCTCTGTGTAATATGACTTCATTGCCAGAGAGGGAGCAAATGGGGAGGAAGAAAGGGGGAAAAGAAAGAGGCTGAGAGAGATCAAATCCTAGCATCTAACTCCAGTTCTTAGTTTTCAAAAACACTGACCCTACAAGCAACCAGCCGTATAGACTTGAATGTGGCATTAGTTTGGGTTCAGAAGTTTTATCAGTTGGTGGGGGGGCAGAAAAGTGAACTTGATGTGTCTTATTGGAGTGCTTCTCATAATTAGGATGCATGTGAAGAATCAAGGGAATCGTGTTAAAATGCAAATTGTGATTTAGTAGTTCAGGGATAGGGCCTGAGATTTTGAACATATGTAGGTAGAGGGAGGGAAAGGCAGGAGAATGACTACATACACTGGACACTTCTTAAACGCTTCTGCAGAGTATCTCTTCATTCACTCAACAAATATTTATTGAGGGCCTACGATGTGCTGGGCCCTTAGGATTCCACAACAAAACTAACAGGCCAAGTCTCTGCCACTGTGGAACTTGCTTTTTGGTGTATGTGTGGTGGGGCGTTGGGGACATTTG